AGAAACATTGTAATCAGTTAGAAACATTGTAATCAGTTAGAAACATTGTAAACAGCCAGAAATGTTGTTACATGACAGGAACATTGTAAACAGTCAGAAACAGTCAGAAACATCGTAAACAGTCAGAAACATCGTAAACAGTCAGAAACATTGCACATACAGTTTCCACAAGGCTACCCAGCATACTTTGCAGCTCACAAAATCTCTCTGGGACTCTCACAGAGAACTTTGTGAGTTTTGGGGAAAGTAGAATAAAGTTAAACGGAGACACTCTGGCTTTAATCTGGCCTACAAATATCTGTGGTTTGCTGTTAATAATACTTTGAATTAAATTAGCAGAGACAGGAGTTGAAAGGCTGCTCCCGCTGTACAGGGAGTTCTGATAAACTGATCATATCAGTGTGTGAAAGCCCACGAGCTGGATTAAACAACAACAAACAGATTACTGGGGAAATGTAGATGAGGACGCACAGCAGCTGTGTAGTTTGCTTAAAAAAAGGTTAAACACAAAAAGGATCAATTTGTGAGTAAATTAATTATAGTAACTGACACAAAAAACGTCATTCGACACACATACTTTATAATGCAGCTGTTTTTTGTTTAGTTTTTATATAATTTCTTCTATTTACTTTTCGTTTTATATGCTTGTCTATTGTTGTCTGTACCTCCTCTGTGCTCTTTGTATAAATCAGGTCTCTCTTGTAAATGAGTCCTCGGGGCTCAGTGAGACTAACCTGTATAAATAAAGGTTGAATGAATATGCTTCATGCTCGCTTTCAGCCCAGCTGAGTTCTGCTCCACCACTTTTGGTTCCGCTCAAAGCTCACACCTAAATGAGACATGGACGCCTCACCTGTGATTTAAGAACCGTTTGAGGAAGAACTGGTCTGTTTAGACATTTCATTATAAATGAGACCATGGCTGCCTCAGACGAGTCGGCGGGGGAGAGGGCGGACTCCAGAAACCAACTTATCACCAACAAACTGGTTGACCCACTATGAGAAGGTTCTATTTATAAGACTGAGTTTGTTGCAGCTCCTCGGACTGATGAAGTCTTCTGGATGAAAGAAGAAACGTTTCAACAAAAAGAAACCGTCCAGAGGACCTGAATCAACTTTGTTGGATTTTTTTAATCTGGATTACTGATCATGAACTTTCATGATTAGCCTTTTTATTTAGTTTTACACACTGATCTCCATGTGCTTGTTCTGACTGCTCCATAATGTACTTTTACCACAAACCATCCTTTGCACTATTTACCCTTGTGTAGTAACAGCTCAGGACTGGGCTGAAGTGAAGATGCTGAGGAGAATAAATGTCATCATGAGCAACAACAGGACCCTTTTTCATGCCTGGGGGGGTTTAATCAGAGCACTCAGCTTAGTGCACCGAAGTCCAAGACTAACCATGACCAGGGGTCTTTCCTACCAGCTGCCACCGAGATCTAAAATGAGCAATACATAAATTTATACTAAATGTACACCTTGGTTCAGTGTATTTTTTATTTTGTTTGAGCATTAGTGCATGTTTGCCTAGTATTTTAGCATGAATACGTTTGTATTAACGCTGTTGTCTGTGTGTGCTGCTGCAAACCTGTGATTTCCTGCAAAGAATCAATAAAGTATCCATCTATCCATAACACAGGCTACCCTGAGAAATCTACTTGGTACGTAACAGAACAAGTACAAATACAAATATAACACACAAGTCTCTCTACAAACCCCAGCTGTCAACAAATCCTGAGCCCACCATTTGTCCACGAATGATGGCAACAACTAAAGATTAGAGTAGTCACTTTTCTTGGAACCTTTAGACATTTCAATCATAAAAATATCATCAATACAAATGAGGTGCAAAACCGGAGACTGTCCGGTTACATAACAGGACGGTTGGCTTAAAGACCTCACTTCAAAAACGGCCAAAATGTTCCGTTAGCCACTAAGCACCTCCAGCTGAATGGCATGTGTAGAAAACACCCATTGCTCCCAGCAAACTGCCTTTAATGGAGGATTTAGCAGTGGTGTGGACTCGAGTCACATGACTTGGACTCAAGTCGGACTCGAATCGTTAATATGACTTTAGACTTGACTTGAAAAAATGTTCAGTATGGCATGAGTTGGTCTTTGACACCTGTTTACTTGACATTTTACCCATAACCTAAAGTTTAAAAACCACGATGAAGTTAGCTTTAGGTTGAGATTCAGCGGTGTCTTCCTCTCGTTCCTTCCGATGCAGGCAGCCTCATTTCGGTCAGTGCAATGGTTTGCTTAGGGACCGTCAATAAATTAACAAACCAAATATTCTTGAGAAAAAACAACTTAATAGCTTTCATATGATGTGACCCACTGACACAGCTGAGTCACTACCTGGACATTGCTGATGGACAGAACTTGTTCAGGACAATGAACATGCAGACTCTTCCTTCACGGTTTCATGTGGCCACCAGAGTTTTGGCAGAGCCTGCATGTAGCGCTCCAGAGGAGCCAGTTTTCAGCTATGGTGCCATCATTCTACGACCTCATCGTCCACTAATGACTGAGACTTTTGGCCCGTTTGGTCTTTTGCAGATCTGCAGAATGGCTAACTGAAAATAAAAAAAGTGCAGATTCCTGTTCAGTTCATATATTTGTTTTGTTTCTCTCTGTCACTCACACATGGACACATACCAACATCTGTTCACTAAGTGACCAGATGAGAGAGGACAGGAAATAAATTGACTCTTTGTAATGTACTGTGGTAATGTCAGCACTTTTTGTCTGAACATGGAGTTCTGCTTTTGCATTTTTCTCTGAACGTTTATTCTGGAAAATTTTAGTTTAAACGAAGACTATTCTTGCAGCTAAGTTTTATTGAACTGTGCGACGTACAGGTGCAGTTTTAGAATGACTTTTTAACACTTTGTAAGTTCAGGTGCACATATTCCATTGTGATATGAGATAAATACAGATTTAAAAAAGAACACACGGTCTGTTATTTACATTTAACTTATAATTGCAACTTTGTTTTAAAAAAAAAGACTCGAAAGGACTTGAAATTTCAAGTTTCAGACACTTGCCTTGTCTTGACTTGACACTCGACTCAGGACTTGTGGATAAACGTGATACTTACAAGAACTTGGTCCCACTTCTGGGATTTAGCTTCAGCCTTTGAAATGTGTTTGTTTTGGAGAATTGATGCAAACAGCCTGGTTTTAAAACCTCTGGTGTTCAACATGCAACAGCGCCATCTAGTGGGAGTCATTATTGTCACAGGTTTACCTTGATTTATTCAAATGATTCTGAAGTAAGAACCCTCACATCAGGATGCTCTGAAGGTAATTTTTATGTAGTGTTGGGACATCTTAAAGGCAAAAAGCTCTTTTCCTGTTTGGTTTGAAATAATTTTCTTATTTGTTTAAAATGTTCACGCATGAACACTATTATTGTACAAAACTCATTATTCATTGTTTCACAGTTTTAAATATTAGTCAAAATGAAGATTTTTTTAAAAGAAAACTTTGTTTATCAAAAACAAGTAGGCTACAAACAAGTATGGCAATTCACAATAGTGCAAATTTAAAAAAAGGCATAGCAGAAGCAAGACTTGGATATGGGACCATCAAAAGCAAAACTGATAAAAAAAATTTTTTTTTTAAAAACCTACAAGAAGGGGATATATATATTTTAGGATTAGGATTAGCATGCATTAGTGGGCAACCATTAATATTTCATAATGAAGAAGGTTGTGAAGAAAAAAGTCGCCCTCTGATGACGTATTCATTCATGGCGAAATGGCGGCGCATGCGAGTGAGCTTGAGATTGCAAAGAAAAAATTGACGGACGCTGTCGGCGATAATGTAAAGCAGTAAGAAAACAGGCTTCAGATGAGTTTTCTCTGTGTCGTGTTCATGTTTCCTCTGTTTTACCTCCACAAAACTAAAACGCATCGTTAATGCGCAGAATAATATCCAGTCTAACTAGCTGCAACCAAGCTAACAGTGGCTAAAGATTAACTAATATTAAGCTAAAACAGTTATTTATGCATAATGTCAAAACTAGCTCAACTGTGCTAACTGTGGCTAAAGTTGAGCTAAAATTGCTTAAGTTGCTGTTCATGTCCGGACTGTGTGATGAGAGTTTACATTCACAGGTTTATTTTTACTGTTTGTTTGGATAAATCTCCATTTGACAATGTTACCACTAGCTAAGAACACACCAAAGAATAAAATTAAAATCATGAAGTAGATCGAACTTGTTCTTGTAAGGAAATGTTAAACTAAAGTAAGGAGTCAGTAATGTTGACTGTTGTCTCTACAGTTACTGGGCAAACCTGAAGCTGTGGTTCAAACAGAAAATCAGCAAAGAGGAGTTTGACATCGAAGCTCGTCGGCTGCTGCCACATGAGAACGGTTGGTGTTCAGGACAAGCTGCTCCGCTCGCTAACGTCTCCCGATAAACTTCATGTTCTTTTCTTCTTCCAGTCCACATCCACAATGATTTCCTGTTGGCCATCCTCACACGCTGCCAGATCATTGTTTCCACACCAGGTAGGACCGTCTGTTTGTCTCGCAGCAAAGTGTGGTTCTGTTCTGTAGAGGACAAATCCTCAAACCAGGTATCTGCAAAGAGCCAAGCTCCTGAGTCCATTCGTGACTTTACGTTCTCAGTCTGTGAAAGACTCAGTCAGTCAGAAACATCCACAACATTCAGAACACTGGACCACTAGAACCAGGGTTAGACCTCAGAGGACCACTAGAACCAGGGTTAGACGTTGGAGGACCACTAGAACCAGGGTTAGACCTCAGAGGACCACTAGAACCA